CGCCTCTGTCTCCTCCCTCTGGGGCCTCTGTCCCCTCCCTCTGGGCCCTCTGTCCCCCCTCTGGGGCCTCTGTCCCCTCCCTCTGGGGCCTCTGTCCCCTCCCTCTGGGCCCTCTGTCCCCTCCCTCTGGGCCCTCTGTCCCCCCCACCCCGGGGCCTCTGTCCCCTCCCTCTGGGCCCTCTGTCCCCTCTCTCTGGGCCCTCTGTCCCTTCCCTCTGGGCCCTCTGTCCTCTCCCTCTGGGCCCTCTGTCCCCTCCCTCTGGGGTCTCTGTCCCTGCCCTCTGGGGTCTCTGTCCCTGCCCTCTGGGTCCCCTGTCCCTTCCCTCTAGGGCCTCTGTCCCCTGCCTCTAGGGCCTCTGTCCCCTCCCCCTGGGGCCTCTGTGCCCTCCTTTATAGGGCCTCTGTCCCCTCCCTCTAAGCCCTCTGCCTCTTTCTCTTAGGGCTTCTTTTCCCTCCCTCCAGGGCCTGTCTCCTCAGCAGGCCTGGGGCTTTCTTAGTTCTCAGGTGGCCTCTGACGGTGTCGCGATGGGCGTGCTCCGGCAGCAGCAGCAGTTGTTAAGTGACAGGCTCAGGGTTTCACATGAGAAACTGACAGAGAAGGTGTCTGGGGTCCCCCGTCATCATCTCTTGCCTCTTCACAAATGGAAACTCCCCGCTTCTTCTCCCTGGGCGGCCTTTCCCACGCTCCCCTAGTTCATTTCCTCATTTCCCCGAAGCTGGAAACGCTGGTTGTAAGAGCCCAGGCCCCATGTACCCAGCCAGTGTCCACCCCGAGAAAGAGGCTGAAATCTGGAGCAAACTTCCCATCCCAACACAAAGTGGGGAAATGAGCTTCTGTTTCTTTGAAATAAATCAATATTAAACTTTAAAGGAAAAGGTATATTATTGAAATCTTTAGGTGTATCCAGTCCACCCTTCATCTCTTCTGGTTCTGCATCCAAGGATTCAACCAACTAGGGATACTTGGGAATAAAAACAATAAAAAAGAACAATACAACAATTAAAAAATTAAAAACCAATGCAGTAGAACAGCTATTTCCATCATGTTTACCTTGTGTTAGGTATCATAAGTAATCAGGAAATGATTTAAAGTGTATGAGGGGATGTGCACAGGCTGTATGCAAATCCTACACCCTTTCGTGTCAGGAACTTGAGCATCTGTGGATTTTGGTATCTGTGGGAGGTCCTGGAGCCCATTTCCCCATAGACACTGAGTGTTGTTTTGGCTATCCTGGGCCTTTTAACTCTCTACGTAAACTTTATGATCGATTTGTCAATATCTACAAAATATTTTGCAGGGACTTTGGAATTGCGCTCAATTTATAGATCAAGTTGGGACAAACTGACATCTTGACAAAATTGAGCCTTCTTATCCATGAACATGGAATATCTCTCCATATATTGTTAACTTTAAGGGAAAGTAACATTTGCCAAAGACATTTATGTTTCATCGCTTCAAAATATTCTATATTTTTACTTCTGATCAGTTTTTCTCAGCTGAATATAAGTATTTTATATGCCAGGTATGTGGCACTAGCTCATCTGTGTTCTCAGAGGTCAAGTCACTCCTTTTCTTTCCTCCAGCAGTACTGGTATCTTAATATTTAATAATACAAAGGTTCAGAAAGAAAACAGAGCATTTAAACAGCACACAGGCTCTGTCTAAACGGACTGTTTGTGTCAGGCTTCAGCTTCGTTCTCTTCTTTCTCACATACCTCAGGGCTGTACCAGAATAAGATTTCACTTTATTATCTTCCTTTCATCTTAGGAGCTGGTAGATGGTGACAGGACTGGAAAACAGCTACTTTGAGGTCTGAGCCTAGACCTGTGATCTTTTCTTCATCTTTTGTTCAGGCTACTTGAGGCTACATGCAGTGATGAAGGACTGAAATTTCTCTTAAGGAAGGGGCAAAGCTAAATTTCTTTCACAATGAGTAGAATTCGAAATGATGCTAGTGTTTTTGAAAACTGAAAAGCACAACTTTATTACTTTGACTTTATTTCTATTGCTTAATATGTGCTCTTATAATTTCTTCCTTTATAGTTTAGTTTAACTAGATGTGAATGAGTTAAAAATATAAAAGCCAGATCACAGTATTTTCTTTCCATGAAGTCCTTCAGTTGTGGATGAGTTTTACCCTTAAATCTGTCCTAATCCTTATAATACAGCTTAGTTCTGTGCTTTCTTGTTGCATCACATCCCTGCGTGAGAAACATTAGGTGAGATTTGCTATGATTTCCCAGTCAGCGTGTAAAGAGAAGGGCAAACCCATTGGCAACATCATGCAACCTACAAGCATTCGTGCAGATTCATTCTTTGCATAGGTTCTAGCTGTGACCTACCAACTCTCTGACCATCCCTAAACTTCCTACCTATTTCACTATCTTCTACACACACACACACACACACACACACACACGTGCATACACATACACAAATACTCATTTTCTCCTCCACCCTCTCTCTCTGCCTTTCCCCACCACATTCATGGGCTCTATCTTTGAAAGAATAAAGGACAGATGGGGCAGAGGTTCTGTTCAGATTCTTTTCCAACTCTTACTATTCAAGTCAACACTAAACATGTATCGGCTAAACCTGGGAAATGATACAGTACTTATTACTGTACATATGTCCTTCTCTAAACAAGGAAAGAAAAAATTGGAAGGAAAAAACAAGACAATAATGAAGTTTTAAGCTAAAATAAGCAAATGGACAAAGATATCCGTCTTCTTTGTTTTCACATTTTGAGTTCTAAAATGCCATAGCAATTTGTCGTAAATTTTAAATAAATTCTTTGGAGTCTAAATAAACTATATTTTTTTACCTCCTTATAGAGCCACGTAAAATCAGAGAGCAGGAACTGGAGGGCCCTAAGCCAAACTTACCAAGTAACAACATTAAGTAGAAATTTTTAGAGAAACAAAAAACGGTTAATGTTTAATGTTATCATGTAGCAGGGAGTAAAAATCGTTTCTCCTTGACCTAGATCTGGCAAACAAAGGGAAGCTTTAAATTCTAAAATGGTTGTATCATCCCAGGCTTCAAATCCCTCCTGCGCATGAAGGGCTCTGGGGGAATCCCAGTGCTTTGAAAAACAAAATTATTGACTCAAGGCTACCATCTTTCTGAGTCATCATCCACACCCACTACCCCACCCCAGACTTTCAGGATGCCTTAGTGAGTCCAGCACAGAATTTAGTAAGCGAACAGTGAATCACCATGGTGATGTCTGGACCTTTGGAGATGCCAGCTTTCTTGGCACTTGAAATGTTTCTTGAAAATACTTGAAGCCGAGTGCCATCTTAGTTTGGTTAAAATTCGCTCCTGAAACTTCATTTTCAAAGAAAACGTACTCTCTTTATTGAATTTTGATGAGGTATTACGGGCAAGTGAACCTCATAGTTTATTTAAAAAGGGTACATGATTCAGAGAGTTACTTGGAATTAGGGGCTTCTTGCCAATCATGAGGGGAAAAGTTAAGGGTTTTTTTAAAAAAATCAGTAACTTTTAATTTTGATAAAATGTTAAACTGATAGGATTTGGTTGAATGTGACACCAAAAATATTTATACTAAAATTTAATTTCTTACAGAATGTAGTTCTAAAGTTAAATAATCTATAATCATGAATTCNAGCACTTTCATAACCTCTACTGGCACCGCCAATAGTTCCCTCCCTTCTCCCCTCTCCCCCTCACCCCACTTTCCTACCTTCTGTTCCCCCATCTATTTTCCCACCCCAACCAGGTGCCAGGAGTTTGGAAACATTGTGCTCCTCTGCCTTTCAATATCCCGGCACATACTTCCTAAAGTCCAAGATGTTTCCTCCCATAACCACAATATGGGGGTCAAGATGAGGAAGTTAATGTGGATACAAAGTTTATCTAATCCACATCCACCTTAAAATTGTGTCCGTTTCCTCCAGTAATGCCCTTTGTAGCTTGTGGCCCCCACTCCATCTAGGATTCAAGCCAGGATCGTGCATTATGTTTGGTTATCTCTATTTAAGAAAAGGTTGCTTTATTTTTATTTTTTTTTTTTTTTTAAGATGGAGTCTTGCTCTGTAGCCCAGGCTGGAGTGCAGTGGCCCGATCTCTGCTCACTGCAACCTCTGCCTCCTGGGTCCCAGTTCAAGCAATTCTCCTATCTCAGCCTCCCAAGTAGCTAGGATTACAGGCACGGGCCACCATGCCCAGCTAATTTTTGTATCTTTTAGTAGAGACAGGGTTTCACCATGTTGGCCAGTCTGGTCTTGAACCCCTAACCTTGTGATTTGCCCTCCTTGGCCTTCCAAAGTGCTGGGATTACAGGTGTGAGCCACCGCGCCCGGCCAGGAAAAGATTTTAACCTAATTTAAATTGGCAGGGACCTCAAAATCACCTCTGGCTATGAGGGCTTTATAGAAGAATCCTTTGAAAGAAAGATTCCTCACTTAGATGCTGGAGACGTCCACGTTCATGGCTTAAACCAAATGGTCCCAGTGCAGACCTAGTTTTGTGCTGCCGGAAAGGAAGGGAAGGCCCCTCTCCTCTGTCAACCCCCATCATTCCGGGGCATTAAGAAGATGAACGGTGCCAGCCTCCGCCCTCTTCCTGTCGCTCCTGAATCAGGAAGTTCCCTCCCGTGGGGCAGGGCAGGAAAGTGGTGGCCAATGGGGTGGAAAGGCCTGGGGAAGAGTCTCTGGATGGCTTCGCTCGGGGCTCTCCGAGTCCTCCCTGTGTCAGCGCCAGGCCATAGGATCACGCCGATCCACGGTGACGTCTTAGCTGAGGAAGACGCCTTCGGAAGGCAGAGAAGCTGGGGACCTGCTGGAGAAGGTGCGGATGCTCAGATGTGGTTTGAAAGCGGATGCACCAGGCCGGGCGCGGTGGCTCAGGCCTGTAATCCCAGCACTTGGGGAGGCCGAGCCGGGCGGATCATGAGGTCAAGAGATCGAGACCATCCTGGCCAACACGGTGAAACCCCGTCTCTACTAAAAATACAAAAATCAGCCGGGTGTGGTGGCGTGCGCCTGTAGTCCCAGCTGCTTGGGAGGCTGAGGCAGGAGAATCGCTTGAACCCGGGAGGTGGAGGTTGCAGTGAGCCGAGATCTTGCAACTGCCCTACAGCCTAGCGACAGAGGGAGACTCTGTCTTAAAGAAAGAAAGAAAGAAAGAAAGAGGATGCGTAAGCAGCAGGGGCCTTCCTAGGGGAAAGCCACAGGGCAGGGCCCGGAGCCACCACTGCCCCCAGAGCCCCTCCCAGACGAGCCCCAGGGCCACAGCCAGGGACTTGCCTCCTGCTGGGGAGGGGGCGCCTGTCTGCCCTTCCTTCCTGGCCTTAGCTCCGCAGCTCCTGTGCTTTGTGCCTCGCCGCAGACAGGGGTCTTGGGGTGCAGAGAGGAGTCGCTTGAAGGCGGAGGGAAAGCGGACTCCGCCGCCAGCGTGTGAGGACCTCCTGCCCTGGTGCCGCCCGCGACCACCACCCACACTCTCCTCCCGGCACAGCCACTCAGTGCCTCGTCCTCTGCCTCCGTCCCTGTCCCTCCCTCCCTCCTCAGCCCCCCTCCCCGTCCCAGGCCTGTCCTCTGCCCCGTCTCCCCATCCCAGGCCTGTCCTGAGCCCCTGCTCTTTTCCTTATGTCTCTTAAGCATCCTTCTAGTGAGTGATGATTTCCCTTCCTGCCCTGTGATACCAGATTTTATTTATCTTTCTCATCTTTCAAGAAAGTTTGCTTTCTCACAGATCTAAACCCTTTGCAGGTCTGGTAATTGAAACAAATTTTAAAACTTTTATTGACATAATCAATCAAATATATGTACATAATGAGAGGTACTTCTAGAATATTACCTAAAACGAGTTTTAAACCATTTAATGGTATTTTTTATTAAATTTTTTAGCTGCAATACTTCTCCAGTTCACAGGAGGAAGGAGCAGAATCATTCATTCATTCAGTTTTCCTTGTAGGTGATAGTGATTTGCATATTCTCCGGATGTTGTTCGTCCAGGGATGCATTGCCATCTAAGTGGCAGTGTCATCTAAGGATTTCACATTTATTACAAATGAGTACAGAGAACACTCACTTCTCATTTTGTTTTATGTAAATGCACTAATCAGTTTTCTTTCCACTGCCTTCTACTTAGGTTAGGGAAGCCTTACTCATGCTTCTCTCACTAGGTTTTCTTCCAGCTGGGTATGTTCTCCAGGCTGGGATTCCTCCCTTTCCCTTTCATATGTCTCTTACTTGCCCTTTTAAAGATTCCCCACCCTGCTTCTCGGTAAATATACAAAGAAATGCATTTCTGGTTTCCGCCCACACCGGAATTGGACAGGACCCTCCAACACCCACAGTCGGTCTAGACCTGCCCCGTGCTTTCTTCTGAAAGGTTGTCCCTCCTTGGGTTACTGTCTGTGTCATGTCCCCAAGGCCACTGTCCCTCTCTCCCCTCAGCCTGGAGGAGAGCTCCCGTGCTGGGGCCTTTTGCTGGCGAGTGTGACACAGCTCATTCTGCAGATGGCACCAGTGCACTCTCAGCTGCCCCTGACACCCCCAAAGGGCCTCAGAACTCGCAGCTGCTTCTGCTCGAGTTCACGTGTCATGGACATGTTTTCCTACGGTTTGACTGTTCATTTTGGAATATTGGCTTGTCAGCCACTGCAGTCCTTGGAAATAATAAAATCCTGTCTGCATTTGCAGTTGGTGGTCCCATAGTCGCGGTACCTGTGAAATGTATGTGTGTGTGTCTGCAGGTGTGTAAATTCTTATATGTCGTGCCATCTACCTTGGGACTCCTGGAGATCCGTCAGGGTCCCAGGGATTTCCAGACGTGACCCTGAGGTGCTCAGTAGCTCATCTGTGTGTTCCGCAGGTTTGGCGTCACCCACTGCCGTAACCCCTGTGGCCTCACCCATTTGCAGTAAAGCAAGAGGCACCACCCCTGTTTCCAAACCCCTGGAAGGTAAGTGGCCAAGGCCCCGGCCATGCCAAGCAGTTTCTGACCAGAAGAGGCCTTCGTGATGCTGTCTCACTGATGGTTTCTGCTTGCCTAGATATTGAAGCCAGACCAGATATGCTGTTATCAGACCTGAAGCTGGACAGGCTGGAAACCTTTCTAAGGAGGCTGAATAACAAAGGTACCTACCGGAAGCCAGAAGGCTTCGCTCTCAGAATCTCTAAATCCTAATTCTGATTGCTTTTCTTCCTCAGCTAAATTGTTTTCTTTCTATTATGGCTTCACTAATCCATACTGCCATCATGATCTTTGTCGTTATCTTTCAAAACCTGAAGTTTTGGTCAAGCCTGATTAGACTATCAAACCCTGACTCACTTGATAATGTAGTAAATTGGGGACTTCCAATAATACATTTTTTAATTGATCTAAACGCTTGGATGTCATCCAATCAGAATTGTGAACTGAGTGATTTTGCATCTAACTCTGAAAGCAGATTATTCCATGTTGGCAAAATCAATGTGATCTTGGGCCTGGTGAACTTTAAATTACATGTTATCAATTTCCAATAAGGTAAAAGCTAATATTATTTCTTATATCACAAATGATTTCTAAAAATGGCAAATGAATGTTGAAATAAATATTTCAATATAAAAGTCAACAAAATACACAAAAATAAAAGAGTAACATGCAGAAATAGCCTTTTATCTCTTGATTAAAATGTCCAGTCCTGGAAACTTAGCAAATACTAGGCGCTGGGAGTTAATACTGTTTACAGCGACCACTAAAAGGTTGAAAACAATACAGTCACCACTAAACGGAAATATCAAAGTGTAATATAATCACTAAACTAGCTAGGCAAGGAATGCCAGTCGGCAAAGCATTTATTCCACACGTGGAACAGTGATCTAGGCTGTGGGTCAGCAAGCAATGGCCACTGCCGAATCCAGCTGCCCGCCTGCTTTTACTTCGTGTTGTTCGTTTGTTTGTTTTTTAGAGACAGGATCTTGCTCTGTCACCCAGGCTGGAGTGCAGTGGTGCCATCATAGCTCACTGTAGCTTTGAACTCCTGGGCTCAAGCAATCCTCCCACCTCAGCCTCCCGAGTACATGGGACTATGGGCATGCACCACCAAGCCTGGCTAATTGTTTTGTCTGGTTTTGTAGAGATGGGGGTCCCACTATGTTGCTCAGGCTGATCTTGAATTCCTGGGCTCAAGCAATTCCCCTGCCTTGCTCTCCTGAAGTGCTCAGATTATAACCATGAGCCACCATGCCCAAACATGTTTTTGTAAATAAAGTTTTATAGAAACACATCCATGCGCATTTGTGAACTACTGTCAACAGCCTTTGCATTTTAACAGCAGAACTGAGTAGTTGCAACACAGGCCCTGTGTCGCCCCTCCCCAGGCAAAGCCTAAAGCGTTTACTGCCTGGCCCTTTTTGGAAGAAGTTTGCCAGCATTTGATGTAGCACGAGGCTGAGGCTAGTTCATAGCTTCTGTTACTTCAGTAGAAGCAAGCACAGGTTCAGAAGCGTTGAGTGGGCCGCGTGTGCTGTAATGTAAGGCCAGCCTCCCTCTCTCCTGTCATGGTACTGAGGGAGATCTGTTCAGGTGGGAAGTCCTTACGTGGCCGATGAAGTAAGGACCTGGGAAGCAACCACAGGACCCTGTATATCACAGTCGTGTTTCCTCCACTCCTGGAACGTAGGCGGAAATACAGTTTTTAAACTACTGTGAGGCATCATTGTAGTCCTTGTTTCTATAAAACTCTTACGTCATTTGCTTGTTTGTTGATAGTTGGCGGGATGCAAGAAACGGTGCTCACCGTCACCGGCAAATCTGTGAAGGAGGTGATGAAGCCGGATGATGACGAAACCTTTGCCAAATTTTACCGCAGCGTGGATTATAATGTGCCGAGAAGCCCTGTGGAGTTGGACGAGGACTTCGATGTCATTTTCGATCCCTATGCACCCAAGTGAGTTATTTGGGTCTCCGTCTTTCCTCCACTGAGAAGGGCCTCCGTCGCCTGCTTGCACACAGAACATTCACGGGGCTCTTCCCCGGCGTGACCTCCTTCTCCTTCTAACTCCATCACCGCAGCGTTAGTATTCTAGGGCCAGGGCGCGATGTGGCAGGAGCCAGGGGCACGGAGCCTCGCAGCAGATAAACGTGCAGGCGGGCAGACCGGATGTGCACGGGGGCAGACCGGATGTGCACGCGGGCAGACCGGATGTGCAGGCGGGCAGACCGGATGTGCAGGGGGGCAGACCGGATGTGCACGGGGGCAGACCGGATGTGCAGGCGGGCAGACCGGATGTGCAGGCGGGCAGACCGGATGTGCAGGCGGGTAGACCGGATGTGCACGCGGGCAGACCCGTGGGCCACAGATGCTTGTCCTGTGCCATAAAGAGGGCGTCACTGGACTTTTCACATGACTTGAATATTGTTTTGCAGTTTTTAGGCTTACATCACTTAGCAGAGAGTTCAACACCTGTCTTTCGTTTGACATATTGAATTCTTAAACTTTGCAAAATATTTGGATGAGATAGGCTCAAATTATTACAGCTAACTAGAAAATCAGTAAGCATGTTACTTAGCTTCTAATCATATACGAAATCAATAGCTCTGAGGGTTTTCTCGGTGATGACTTAGGGTTTCTCTTCCCACAGGAACATGACTAAACCAACCAAGAAAAGTGATTATGGTGTTAGGATTTCTTCAATTTCAAGTGCCAGGAAAAAGATCCCAACTCAAACCGACTTGAGCTAAAAAGAAAAGTGCGCAGGGGTTTACTGGCTCACTCGCCGAAAAGTGCAGATGTGACCTCGGGTTCTAGAGCCCCTCAGAACAGTCTGCCTTGGCTGTTTTCCTTTGGGCTGGCCTCCCTCTCTGTCAGGCAGTGGCCTGGCGGCAGATGGACACCCCAGCTGTGGAGTCACAAGGCTGCCTCCTTGGCCAGCCCGGCACAAGTAGCTTCTCTTCCCAGTAGTCCCAGCAGAAGGTCGAGGTTTGATTTTCTTGGCTTCAACGTGAGCCTGAATCCATCCCTAAACCAGTCACTATGGCCAGTGGGACAGAAGATGCCAACAGGCTGAAGGCGGGTCTCCGGGTCCTCTCCAGAGCCACAGTGGGGACACAGAGAGTTTCCACAAAGGAAAATCCAGATGTTATTAGGAGAAGCAGAGGCCACACCTATGGCAGTCCACCACATCCATCTGGTCTTTCCTGCGAAATTCTCAGAGTGACATATCATACCATTTCTACAAGCTGCTCCTGATACATTCTTTGTATATTTCAGTTTGCGTGTTTTAATTTCCTACCATAAAAAATCAAACCTTTGCCATTTTCCACCTCAAAATAGTATTTTGGGTATTTGTACACCTAGCTGTTTAACCATTTCTCAGTGTCACTGTTTAAACTGGTGTATGTCATAATTTAAATATATATGTATATTTACACACATGTGACACCATGGTACATAAAGAGGCCTTTCGGGCACAGAGACCCACGCAGTCCGAGGTGGACAGTGGCAGCAGGGGCCTGTCGGGAGATCACTTAGCTCGGTCTGCTCACCTTCCCCAGTCTGGTTTTCCACCCCAGGGAGTTGTGAGAACGTGGGGTGGTCACAGATGGTGGCGGGACTGTTTTATTTCAATATACTCTTACAAAGAGTGGTTATTTTTCAGAGGGGGCAGTGAGTTGTGTGGAAGCTAGTCATGGAGGGACAGCAAGGAGACCAAAAGCTATGGCATGGGAGAAGGTTTAGTCTGAGCAGAGAGGATCACATCAAGGAGCCGTGGTCTGCAAGTTCCTGAAGGGCTTGCCGGAGACAGACAAGTAGACATGGGAGTGTGATTCCAAAGTGAGAATGAGGATGTGTGCATGGGTGTGGTGAGGAGAGGCAGGAGCTCCCAGACCCCTAGAGCTGTCTAGCAGAGCCTCGAGCTGCCCGGAAGTACTCCACACCCTTAGGCAGACCAAGGGGCATGAGTGAGTGGGGGCATCCGGGCGTGGCTGGGGTTTGAACTCAGTAGGCTTGCATCCCTCTTCCTTCTCCAAGATTCTACAAGTCCACCTCAGGGGAGTTGCAGTGGGGGGAGGAGTTGCAAGATTTGTAACAAAATCAGGAAATACACTGTGGAGACCAAGACCTGCAGGTCACCAGGCGTGGGGGTGTCGCAGACTGGAACCACACTCTGCTTCCATCCGCAGATTGACGTCTTCTGTGGCCGAGCACAAGCAGGCAGTCAAGCCCAAGTGCCAGGTTCAGGCCTCCAAAAACCCCCTGAAAATGCTGGCGGCCAGAGAAGATCTCCTTCAGGAATACACTGAGCAGAGACTAAACATTGCCTTCATGGAGTCAAAGCGGATGAAAGTAGAAAAGAGTGAGTATCTGAAATCCCTGCGTGCTCCCGTGCTTGGGAATGGCTTCTTCCGTTGCTTTAATCATGTCTTGGTTTTCTGCCTGTGAAGGCCAATAATGGTGCTCAGAAACCCTTGTGAAGTAAAAAAGGAGTAAATATAAACATACGTGTGCACGCTTACCTAGAATTGAAGGATTTGTCATGGAAATTCTCACAATGTGTATCACCTGTTTAGTTGGTTAATTCTAATTATACTGGAATTTAGTTTTTTGTCTTTGTTTTTTTTTTTGTTTGTTTGTTTGTTTTGTTTTTTTTTTTTTTTTTTTTTTTTTTTTAAAGACTTGGGTCTCATCATGTTGCCAGGCTCATCTCAAACTCTCTGGCCTCAAACAATTTTCCCACCTTGAACTTCCCAAAGTGCTGGGATTACAGGCAGGAGCCACTGCACCTGATTACAAATTATCCTATTTTGATGGTTTTTTTTCTGGAAGTGAGAAGAGATGGCTATTTCTGAGTATCTTAATTCAGCCATTTTCAGCTCTGTAGATCCTGAACAGTCATTCTTCATTTAATCTTATTCAAGATTACATGATTACATTACAATCTCTTATAGTAAAACGGCTCAAATCACTGGTGTTTCTAATCCTAGATTTTTATATTATTCATTAACACATATCCAGTGCTTTTCAAATTGTTCTTGGTAGGACCCTCAGCTTCTAAAGTTAGGATGTGAGCTGGAGGGAGCTGGTTGGGTGCAGTGGATGGAGGCGAGGAGGTGGGCTCCAGACTCATCCTCAGCGTAGGCTGAGCCATGCTGCTCTGATCTGCCCAGTAATGTGGGGTTCCATCATTCTGAAACAGTGGTTTTCTTGGTTTGAGGTGACAACATACACAATCTTGATTTTTGGAATAATTTTGTTATAATTTTCATTTCCCCATAACACTCACAAACCAATTTCCTAATGTTTTTCTTAGAAATATAGTATTTAGCTGAAGTGGTTGAGTCCTTTCATTATAACTGGTTTATTTAGAAAGCGTATTTCAGACTGGCATAGTGGCTCACACCAGCACTTCAGGAGGCTGAGGCAGGAGGATCACTTGAGCCAGGGAAGTCAAGGCTGTAGTGAGCTGTGATCACACCACTGCACTCCAGCCAAAAAAAAAAAAGAGTGAAAAAAAAAAAAAAAAAAAAAAAAAAACAAAAGCGTATTTCAAAATCAAGCTAAAAATCATATTTTGAAATCACACCATAATGAATTGACAAGTACTTTTACATACGTTTCCTGTGCCTCCACTTTTGAGGGCTCAGGGGTTGGATTAGTGATGACTAACAGACTCGTTGGTGTTTGTTGTTTTGCACTGAAAACCCAACGTCTTGTAATTACAACCTTAACTCCGAGAGCAGAAGACCTCAAGATATCGTCTAGTTGATCACTTTGCCTTCAGCAAAAGATTAGAACCTAATCATCCCTTACAGAGTGTCTGCTTTTTTTCTCTTTATGTATAAAGGCTTTTGGTGACAGATGTCTAACAGTCACCGGCATCTACACATTCCAGCATGTAAAAGTTGTTAGGATTTAGAACAGCTTTCAGTGGAGCTGCAGCAAGTGCATCCAGCTCCTGGCTTTGTGCTAGAGCAGCTGGCCCGCGTGGTCTCAGTTCTCGTCCCTCTGCACAGTGCGGTGTGACACTTACCAACAAGCCGTTTATATTCTCGATGCTGTGTTTAGTTCCCAGCACGGTGGTTAAGCATTGAATTGCACATTTGATCGAACTTGAGTATGTTTCCCTCTCGGGACTAACTTGAAAAGACAAAGGTGCTGGGTCGGTTGTGAATGATTTCTGACAGTAAATATTGTCGCTGTACCTGGACCTTCTGTGTTGTGTTTTCTTCTTCAGCCCGCCCAGTGTCTTCCAACTCCACCTTCTCAGAAGTCACCCTGGCGGGTTTAGCCAGTAAAGAAAACTTCAGCAGCGTCAGCCTGCGGAGCGTGAACCTGACGGAACAGAACTCTAACAACAGCGCCGTGCCCTACAAGAGGCTGATGCTGCTGCAGATTAAAGGTATTTCAGAGCACCTGGGCCCAGTGACTCAGGGCCCGTGGTTTCTGTGTGGTCACCCGAGGAGTCCTGAT